GGGAGCCCGATGTGGGACTCGATCCCAGGACTCTGGGATCGTGACCCAAGCCAAAGGCAGATGCTTAACCAACTGAGCCACCCAGGCGCCCCTGAACAAAATATATTTTTAAAGAAATAGCTAAATTTTAAAATAGAATTTTCTGAGGCACAGAAAACAATTTTAAGTTACATGTGAGACAGCTCACATATGTATATTATATATAAATATAAGCTGTTAGTAATGTATTCTATATGTGGAAAGACTTCTAGCTCCTGCTTTAAAGCCTAGAATCTTCTGGCTACAATCTCAGGCAAACAGACCTTCCAGAACAATTTCTATGATTTTTGCAGCCACATTGGAAATACTTTCAGACTGTGTTAGATTCAAGAGACCACAAACTTCAAATACTGTTCAAATGAGAAAGTACAAGAAAACATAACTCTGTAAGTCTGTCTGAGCAATGTAAGCCACCAAACGCAATGGAAGACCCGTTGAGTTGGTTCCTACAAATGGCATGTATATAATAGGGGTGGGGGTGGGTGATGGAGAGGACAGTAAGTAGAAGACAGGCCCAAAGAGAAGTGAGCCCCTAAGTGCAGCTGAAATGGGCCTCTCCCTTTATATGTCAAAGTGTGAAGATTAACCTCAAGATCATGAGAAAGGGAACATACAAATATGGGTTTACACTGCATTCTTCCCTGACATGGTCAGGAGAATGGGTGCAAGAGGCTGAGCAGCAGAGCTGTGGAATAAAGTTTGAAAAGACTTCTGAGGAAGACAGCAAATTAACTTTTGGATTCTTTGTTAGTCTATTAACATTTGTCATTCATCTTCCTTAATAGCTTGGACAATGATGCAGCAATGAGGTCTCTAATTTCACCAAGTGTCAAAACAGAAATAAAAGGCATTAGCTATTTTTTCTTAAGTATAACCAAGAAAACCGATAACGAATGATATAACTGACTTGATTTCAGAACTGTTCTGTGTTTCTCAATGAATCCTACTTCACAATTTAGCTGTGTCTTAAAATTTACATTTTGTTCATTTAATAGAGTTATTTTATAATTGGACAAGCTTCATCTTTTCCTTTCATCATTATACTTTCACATAATTGAGGTCTTCTAACATTAATTTAATAAAAATAGTAAACAGTCTAACTGCATAAATGTAGTTTCCTTTCTTTGGATGCTAAACTGATTTTCTCTTAAAGAACAGTAAAAGCCTCAACTGAAAAAAAATATCCTTTCTTTTTCCCCCTCTTCTCTCCACTTGGGTCACATAGTAGCTTCTTACACAGTATCCTTATAGGCTAGCTACCTAGAGATGCCTTTTGAATATAGTCTAGCTCAGACCACATTAAGATTTCAGCTTGTATGACAGGTGTTGGTGAGGATGTGGAGAAAGCGGAACCCTCTTGCACTGTTGGTAGGAATGCAAACTGGTGCAGCCACTGCGGAAAACAGTATGGAGGGTCCTCAAAAGGTTAAAAATAGAACTACAATCCAGCAATCACACTACTAGGTATTCACCCAAAGGATACAAAAACACTAATTCAAAGGGATGCATGCACCCCAATATTTATAGCAGTTATTTATTTTTTTTATTGTTTACAATAGTTATTATTTACAATAGCCAAGTTATGGAAATAGCCCACGTGTCCATCGATTGATGAATGGATAAAGAAGATGTAGTATGTATGTGTACACACACACACACACAGAATGGACTATTACTCAGCCATAAAAAAAGAATGAAATCCTGCCATTTGCAACAGGACATGGATGGAGCTAGAGTGTATAATGCTAACTGAAATAAGTAAGTCAGAGAAAGACAAATACCATGTGATTTCACTCCTATGTGGAATTTAAGGAACAAAACAAATGAGCAAAGGGAAAAAAGGTGAGAGAGAAAGAGAGAGAGAGGCAAACCAAGAAACAGACTCTTACTATAGAGAACAAACTGATGGTTACCAGAGGGGAGGGGGGCAAGGGAGGTGAGATAAACAGTTGATGAGGATGAAGGAGGGCACTTGCTGTGATGAGCACAGGGTGATGTATTCGAGTGTTGAATCACTATATTGCACATCTAAAACTAATATTACACTGTATGTTCAGTAGTTGGAATTTAACATAAACTTTTTAAAAATTAAACTTAAAAAAAGATTTTAGCTTGTATGTAGTGCCTAGGTATCTAGGCATTGAAATCCTTCATTAGTTCAATCAGTTAGTTGTCTTTTCATGCACATAGTTTCCAAGCAGGCCTTCAGGAAAAATAAAGGAATTCTAAAGTGGATCAGGAAGTAAAGATTATCTCTGGCCTTGCTCCTCCTTGTACCCATTTCAGCTTTCCTCTGTCGTCTTCTGTCTCCCAAAAGGCAACCAACCTTCTCAGGCTGCCCAGTCTTAGTCACACCTTCCCCATTGGTGTTAACATTTTTATTTTATTTTATTCATCATTATTATTATTATTATTTTGGTTGTTAACATTTTTAAAGGGACAGGGAAAGGTGGAGATGATCATGATTCTTAAACAAAATACTAACCTCCCAGAAGTTGGGTTTATGTACCGGCACCCCAGGCCTTGTCAGGGCCCTTCCCAGCACAACCCACGCCTCAGCTCCCCGGCCCAGTGAACAGTCATGAAGCTTCAGGAGCAACCGGAGCTTAAGAATGTCTCATTTTTCATTGAACCTTTCCATACTTTTACCATCTACTACTCTCTATTACACATCTTCCTCTCCCAGTTTTAGCCACCCCATATCACCACTATCTTTTTCATTCTTCTGCATTCCTCCCTCTTCCTCCTTATGTCCACACACAAAAAAGTGTGTGTCAGAGCTCTTGAAAGTGGGGTTTAGACTTCGGTGTCACATAGGACACAAATACCCAATTGAAAAGCTTTTGCTTGCTCAAGGGAAGAATGGCATCAGTGAGAGTTCCTGGGGGGCTGTCCTCTGAGGTTCGTCGCCACTTAGGACCTTGTAGTAACTGGCAACCAACAGGAACATTTGAAGAATATCTTCTGGTCACAGTGACAGCAAAGAAAAAAATAATTATATAAGAAGTTTAAGGACCCGACAACTATTTATTCTTGGCCAATATTTACAACATGCCCAAAGGTAACCTTTCAATATGGGAAACCTGGTCCCTATATGGTTATGGAATAGGTAGAAACTAATTTTGATGCTTAGCAATTGACTTCCCAAACAAAAACAACCATAAAAAGGGGAGGGCGCTCCTTATACTAGACACAACTGAATTTTCCTCAGAAAATATAGCAGATGAAAATGGGCTAGACAGAAATATTTTAAGAAATAAAGTATTTAAGTGTTAAATTCAAGTATTAAGCTATTAAGAAAGGAGCTTCCAAAAAAAATAAGTGAAATAATAAATAAAAGGTGCACTTCTAAACCCTTTTAAGACATAGCCACTAAATCTTTCACTGGAACCACATTTTTAAAAATATATAGACCTGGGGGCACCTGGGTGGCTCAGATGGTTAAGCGTCTGCCTTCGGCTCAGGTCAAGATCCCAGCGTCCTGGGATCGAGTCCCACATCGGGCTCCCTGCTCCTTGGGAGCCTGCTTCTCCCTCTGCCTCTCTCTCTCTCTCTGTCTCTCATGAATAAATAAATAAAATCTTAAAAAATATATATATATAGACCTGGAGTGCCTGGGTGGCTCAGTCGTTAGGTGTCTGCCTTCGGCTCAGGTCATGATCCCAGGGTCCTGGGATCGAGTCCCGCATCAGGCTCCTTTCTCTCTCTCTCTCTCTCTCAAATAAATAAAATCTTTAAAATATATACACATACACACCCCTATGGACTGTTAGAACAGAAAAAGACACAGGGCTCAAAAGGAAAAGTGGCAGAGCTAGGACTCAACCTTCCTCACTTAAACGCAGTTGGCCTCCTACCATACACACTGCCTCCCCCGCTCAGCATGGTTTTGTTCAATGTTCAAACACCGCACCCTATAACAACCAAAGTTTCCATTATTAAAGCTTTAAAGCCAGGAGAGGAAAATAGGTTAAAAAAAAAAAATGACCCACATTCTATATCTTGGTAAACCCAAGGGAAGAGAAAGAGGTGTGGCAAAAACCCTGGGTCGGGAGCTCGGCTTCGCACTGACTCATGATGTGGTTGAAATCACTTCACCTCTCAGTGCCTTCTTGGATCTCACAGGCTCCTTCCTACTCTCCTACCTTATGGTACTACGAGATAATCCCAAACCCAAACTGTGAAATCGGGCTTCTCAAAATGAGGTTTTTAGAGGAACGAGGAAAGTTTCTCAGGCAAAAAGCCCAGCAGTCCTCTTGATTCCTGTCTTTCACCAGGGTGATGTTCTGCATCCTCCTTCGAGGCACATCTGGCCCCAGATCCTGCGGGGCTTCCACCGCCACCTTTTTCCACCCAAAGCCAGAGTCCTTCTGATGGCCCATGAGGCCCACGTTGTATGCCTCCCCCACAGCCTCTCTTCCTTCATCACCTGCCACTCTCTGAGTACCTTACTGCTTTGCTAGCTGTTCCTCACACGTGGCAGCCACGTCCCCACCTCAGGGCCTATGCACTTGCCATTCTCCTTTCTTCACTTCCTTCAGGTCTCTGCTCAAACACCATCTCCTCAGGGAAGCCTTCTTCAACCAATTCCTAGAAAGGTTATCCACCCAACCTTGGTGCCTTCTATCCCTTCTCTGTTTTTTTTCCATAGCACTTATTACTACCACTTGATTTATTTTTAATTGTCCCCTCCCTCTTTCCCCATGAGAATGTAGACTCCAAAAGAGCAAGAGCTGATTGGCCATCCCAGGAAGAGAAAGTTCTTTAGCGAAGTCCAAGAGGCTGGCAAATGCCCCTTCACTGCCTTTCATGTGGAATTCAAACTATTCCACTACCTTCCAGGCAAAGACACTTCTTCCTGATTTCTGCACAAATCATCCCACTTCCTCTGATTTCCAGAACTGAACAATATTTGTCCCTTCCATTTACTGGGCCCTTGATACTTTCAGAAAAGAGCACTTTTAATGGAACAAGCCCCGGAAGGCTTTTTGGCAGTTAGTGAGCAAACTCTGACGTCAAGAGAAGGATGCTCATCAATGCTATGTTCAAATCTCTCTACAAGTTGGGTTATACATGCCATTTGTGATCACTGGAGCTAGATGATTTATACTTTTCAAGCTGGGGGTGTAGCAATGAGTGAGGCAAGCCATAGGCGCCAAGTGGTTAATTATATTTTCATGACTAACTGCAGGCAGTTCTGTAACATCTTCTCACAGTGGAAATAACATCTAGCCATTTGAGAGTTCTCCCAATTTCCCTTTCGGTTTTCCCAAGGTCAGTGAGATCCCTTCTGGGTAAAGTGACCATGCTACTGTATCCATTACCCCCACTCTCTAACAATTATAAGGAAGCTGTTGTCAGGCTTTGCGAAAGAGTTTTCCTCTTTACATTTCTGTCTCAACCAACCAGTTATAAAACAGGCTTTCGTCAAATCCTTACTTCTCCAACTTGCCTAACCTAAATCTGGATGGCAGAGGATGCCGGCTTTCCGAGTAACTCCTTCAGCAACCTCCCCTGCCCCCAAATACACTCCGAACAGGTTTGAGTCCCTCTTTCTGTTTTCTCCTTCCTTTTGAGTAAAGCTACCAGGGCGCCTGGGTGGCTCAGTCGTTAAGCATCTGCCTTCGGCTCACGTCATGATCCCGGGGTCTGGGATCGAGCCCCACGTCGGGCTCCCTGCTCAGTGGGGAGTCTGCTTCTCCCTCTCCATCTTTCCTGGCTCATGTTGTCTCTCTCTCTCAATAAAATATTTTAAAATATGTTTAAAAAAAAATTCAGAATGATGGACACCTGGGTGGCTCAGGTCATGATCCCGGGGTCCTGGGATCCAGCCCTGTCTCAGTGTCCCTGCTCGGCTGGGAGCCTGCTTCTCCCTCTCCCTCTGCCACTCTCCCTGCTTGTGTTCCTGCTCTCACTATCTCTCTCTCTGTCAAATAAATGAATAAAATCTTAAAAAAAAAAAAAAAAAAGAGGGCGCCTGGGGGGCTCAGTTGGTTAAGCGTCTGCCTTCGGCTCAGGTCATGATCCCAGGGTCCTGGGATCGAGCCCCACATCGGGCTCCCTGCTCGGCGGGAAGCCTGCTTCTCCCTCTCCCACTCCCCCTGCTTGTGTTCCTGCTCTCGCTATCTCTCTCTCTGTCAAATAAATGAATAAAATCTTAAAAAAAAAAAAAGCTACCAAACGTAGGATACCAAACAGAAGATGCTGGCAGGGCACCTCTGTAGTGGATACCACTGATGAAAACATGACGAGAAAGTAACAGCAGCATCCCTGTCTAAGCAAAGCTCCCCAAAATCTACCGAGTCATCCCCAGACGGAAAGGCGGGAAGAACTGATTCCACACCTGGAGCCTCATAAAGCTCTGGAGTCAGATCTCCAATCTTTCTCCCGCAGATACTGAGGAGGGAACAAGCTTAGCTCTGTATACAACACCTCAGGAAGTGAGGCAGGGTCTCCTTTCACCTAGAGGGTTATGAAAATATTGCATTGTTTTCATCCATTTAGACAGTTTCCCGCTGCCGCCCTGCTGCTCGCTCAGCCTCACCGACAGATGTCCACCAGCTGGTCCAGCTCGGGGCAGCTGCACTCACACAGGTCCCGGCAGCTCGCGTGGCTCTGGTTCATTAACTCCCCCAGCAGCTGGACCGTGTTGTCAGGTGCTTCCTCACATATCTTCTGAAACCGGAGCACCCGCGCAGCCTCGCTGTACACGTGCTTTGCCCGCTGGTAGGGTTTGAAGACGAGCACTTAGGAAGAAAGGGGACGGGCAACAATTAGAAATATTTACTGGACAACCCCGTGCAAAGAAAAATAGTCATTGAGGACTTCCGTGTCTATCTTCATTATCAACACCTTAGACTTTAAATAGGTCTCTCTTTCACCGAAAGAAACCTTCATAGTCTACATTTGTCTCTTTTCAAGTCAGTTTTCCTTTTTTCTTGATACAGGACACAGTGTCAGGAGTACACTTTCTTCCCTTCATTCTGCACACCCAGACGTGTGCGCACACGTGCGTGCAAACTAACTCATCCCACAGGGAGGGGAGGTAATGTGTGTTGGGCACTCCCTACACGTCTGGCCCTTTGGAGGCACTGTCTCACGGAGTTCTCAGGGTGCTGGGGGGGTGGCAGCATGACCCCTGTTTAACAGACAGCAGACTGAACTCACATGCCCAAGGTCACACATCCAGAAACTGGAGAAGCGGAGTCTCAATCAGGATGTCTGATCCCAGGGCCACATTCTTTCCACTGTGACCCACCAGAAAGGACCACTGAAAATGCTTATGCTGGCAATTCTATTTATAAAAATGTATCCTGCAGATAAGCACAATTACTTATATATGTACGCACATACACACACGTACAGCAGCATTATCTATCATAGCAGAAAATAGGAAACACATGTCTAGTAACAGGAAACATTTTAAAAATCAAGCTACCTCCGTTAAAAATGTTACTGCTATTAGAACTCAGATTCTAAGACCATTTACTCATAGGAAATTATTCACTATCAAGTGAAAAAACAAGATACAAAACTGTATGTACAACTGATCCTAATTTTGCATTCACATATACACAATTTATGTAAATTTGAATTTCTAAAACTTTGAAGAAAGCACCAAAACATTAACAGTTATTTCTGTGTTACATTATGGGTGATTTTATTTTCTCCTTAACACATTCCTATACTTTCTAGATTATCCACAATGACTCTAACTTCAGTTACAGAAACACGTCCTATTGCAATGGCTTTATCTATAATGCGTACACACTCCCTTGAATAACAACTGGGACCCCCTTACCGTTTTCAGCCTTGCTGAAGTGGCTGAGCTGGTGCTGTGGCCCTGGGGAATTTGTGATTCTATGGAAGCTACCTAGCCTCCTGGAAAGAGCCAGGGCTGCGAATCACAAGGTCTGTCATTTCTTCTCAGCTCTGTGACAATTAGCTGTACCCAGTTGCCACCTCTACACGGTTCTATTTCCCCATCTCTAAAACGAGGTCTAACATTTTATGATTCTATGAAGATCTCCTTCCAAGGCTTCCCCCTTCCCCTATGGTTGTTAGATGTTGTAAAGAGGATGCTCCGACCGTTACCTTCTGTCTGCACCCCCAGTTCTACTCTCAGGAGGCTGACCCATATGATTACACCCCTGGGTTCCCTTGCCGTCTAGACTAGGGAAAGGGAGACCATTGAGAAACGGGAGGGAAGAGAGTAGGTCAGAGGATTTATTCCCCAGCTCCCTCCTTGCAGCTGGTTCTGCCACTCCACTGGACAATGAACATCCTCTCGAGGTAGCCTTTTCTACATGACTTGATCCTCCAGTGTCGGCCTCCAGGTTTCTCTCCCTAGACTTTTACTACTTTTTCAGAGGTGCTGTCACATTTCACTTAATGAACCAATAAAGTTTATTAAAGTTCAGGTCACATTTTTTCCCCTTCCACAGCACTGTCCAACTCTTGGAGATGGGTAAAAAGGCAGCCATGGCTAGAGGAAGTGAAGCCATTCTTAGGATTTGTGTGAAGTTCAGTAATTACAAGGTTGGGGCTACCTTTCTATAAATAAAAAATTAAAAACAGTCTCAATTCAGTCACATTAGGTATATTAAACTTACAGTTAACTACTGACATCAGTGAAATGATGCAAAATTCATATCAATTTTCCTGTTCTCTTTCAAAGAGGCCCTAAATTCAGTCATCAAATCTAGTCAGTTCTTTGGCAACATGCCTTGTAATCATCCCTCCCTTATATTGCCACTGTCATCACCCAGATTTACACTTTTCTTCCTTTCCCACTTGAACTATTTTGCAGTAGCTTCTAAATTGATATTGCTGTCTTAATCTCTCCTCCCTGCAACCTCCCTTAAGGACAACACTGCCAGACTGAGCTCCTGACACACAGCCGTACTTGCCCCAAACCTTTACTGCCTTGCCAGTGTTTCCCATCATCCAGATTCCTGCCCTCAGGAGGCTCGGTCCCAGCAGGAGGTCTTCCCTCCAGCCAAACTCCCCTACTTAGAGTTACTCAAACACTCCTCGCTTCTCAGGATACTGGTAGCCACACAGAAATCATCTCCTGGCCTTTCTCTCCCTCTCAAAATTTCACCTGTTTCAGTTTAAATTTTTTATGCTCCAAGAAGTCATGATGGCCCCAGCTGGAAACACTCTCTTGACTCTATACCACTCTTGCATATTAAATTTTCCCAGTTGTCATTTAAATTTTAGTTGATTTACACCAGGATCCAAACAAAGCCCACACATTATATTTCATTGTTATATCTAATAAGTCTCTTTTAGTCAAGAATTTACAGTGATTTTTGAGAGTCTGGATGAGTAAATAAAACTCAATATAGTCCATAAGGGACAGTATGTTTTAGTTCTTCTTTAGGATTATATAGTCCTCAAGGATGAAATATTTTCCACTAGGATTAAATATTCTAAAATAGAAACCATCCAGAAAGGTGTTTTATTTTTTTTTAAAGATTTTATTTATTTATTTATTTATTTGAGAGAAAGAGAGAGAGAGCACAAGGAGGAGAAGGGCAGAGGGAGAGGGAGAAGC